TATTTGGCCCAGAAATTCCATACCTAGATATATACCCATGAGAAGTGAGAACATATGTCCACAAATTTCAACTTTTTCTCTAAATTTTTGGAGAAGTGTTACTTATTAAAAATCAGAAAGTGAAAATAATCCAAATGTCCTTGACTGATAAAATGGTAGGAAATGCACTCTATATCCCTACAATGGGATCCTGTTTATCAACTAAAGGGAATATAGTACAGGTTAAAACACGTATGATCTTGAAAGCATTATTCTAATCAAAGAAGGCCAGACATAAAAGCCACATTTTTATGGCTTCATTTGTCTGACATATCTACAATAGGCAAGTGACAGAAGATTAATGATGCCCTAGGATTGAGCAGTTAGGGGGACAGGAAGTGCCTGTTACGGACTATGGAATTTCTAAAGTGACAATGATGTTATAATACATATTAGGTTGTGCTGAAGGTTACATAACTTCATGAATATATGAAAAATAATTGAATTGTACAACTTTGTGTGTGAAGAATATGACGTGTGAATAATTTCTCAATGAAATATTTTTATCTTGGTACATTACAGGGAAAAAAAACACAAGAAGAAAAGAGCAAAGTCATACTCATAAGTGGTTTAATTAGGCATGTCTTTCTAGGTCCTATAGATACATACACAACTTGCCATTTTACATGACTGAGATTGTACATAGGTATCATGCTTTTTTTCTACACAACATGAATGTTCACCAATTCAAAATCCCAAAGCTGCAAAAATATTTTTTGACAACCAAGAATGCATGACACCAATCCAGTCTGTTTTAATAAAATTGTAATTTTGCCATTTTGGAGATAAAAATGTCCCTGAAGACAAAAATGCTAACAAGACATCTAGATAGAGGTGTTGGCAGTGTTACCAATAAAATACTGCATTCTCTTAAGCTCAATTTAAAATGAGACATAAAGCAACAGACTACACCCAGCATGTTCCCAAGTTATCAGATCTCTACTATTAAAATATTAGCAAGAAGGTCTGTTCTGACTAAATTACTAGCATATTCCTAGAGTACTACCAGAAGACACACACACACACACACACACACACACACACACACACACACACATCAATGGCTCCCACCAGAATGTGAATCTGAAGTCTTTGTACACATCTCTCCTTATATGCATCTTTCTTCCCTTCTGCTGCCAGCCTAATGACAGGTCCTGATACATACTATCCAGAGGTGGTGTTACAATGCTAAGTCTAAGATGCATTTTTTTAAAATCAATTACAGCATTGAGATTTTACAAGTTGGCTAAATCACTAGCTCTACTTTTTATCATACATTGTCAGCTCCAGACATCTACAAAGCTTGGATGTTGTACAATACAGTATGAACTCTGTGGACAATAAACCCAAGTACTTTACCAAAAACTTCATATATTACCTATGGTTACAACCCAAAACCCTCTCCCAGATATGGATACACTAGCAAAGAGCCCTTGCCCTCACCTTTGCTTTCCCTCTTCATTTTTTCAGTGACTCTATTCAGGATCATATCTAGCTCCAAGAGGTGGCTTTAACAAAGGTCACTTCCAGAAGGCAGTTCTTCCTAAAATCTATCAAAAGAATATTTATGTAGGAATCATTTTGCTACTTCTAATATAAGTTAGGCATTAGGGCTTATCTTTTAATACCCAGAAATACTAACTAAAATGCACATATAAAATAATGACTAGAAAATGTGCGCTCACTGGGCGAAGAACACTTCTCCCTCTGCATACTCCAAACTCACATGGTCAGCAAACTCTCCAAAAAAACAGGTTTAACAATTCCATTCCCAAAATGCAACCGTTCCTGGAAGACAACAAAAAAATACCTGAAGTGTACCACGTTAGCACTTTACTTTTGCATGTTTGTAAGGGATTATTTCCATATTGCCAGATCTTTTCAGCAGACGATTGTTCAAAATCAAATTTGCGTTAAGGGAAATAACTCATTACTAGAAACATAGATTTGATTCTAGTAGTTCATAATATTGGTCAGTCCTTTAACATATCGATCAGCACAAACGCTCAAAACTTTCCTTCTACTTCCATAATCATTAAAGTTCTTTATTACTTACTTTCCCATCTCCAAATATAATCACTTTCCCGCAGTCCTCATTTTTCACCACTTATTGAACAGATTAGAATTAAAAGCGGTATTGTTAGAATTACTTTCATGGCCTTGTTATGGAATGGTAATTATTCTCTTCATCATGAAGTTTTTCTCTGGCTCCACTGATTTTATACTCTGGAAACCATGTGGTCTAGGATCTATCTGCTCCTCTTTTATGTTCCTCCTTATCCTTTGTTTTTCTCTCCTCCAAAAGGTAATTATTCATCCAGATGTTTTTTCATTGCTCTGCATTTTCCTCCTTACATCTGTCCTTTTTGTTATGAATTATGAATCCATTTCTCAGACACATCTCATCTCCTAAGTTTCAAAAAATATTTTTCATCATTACAATGTAAATTTAAATTTTTTCCCTTCCACAGTTATCTCAGTAGCTAAAAATAAACATATATATCCAACCAATCTTTAAAGATCTCGTATCAAGTGTCAGAGATTATAAATTTGGAAAATGTACTTCAAGTGCTTGTGGTCCATCACCAGGAGATAGACAAGTCTGCAAATGAATGCCTCAAAGTGTTTCAAGTTCTACAACAGATTTTTATACCTTCCCCTCAATTTACTTTCTGCATTAATTCCAGTAATAATAAACATGTTTATTGGCCTTACTTAATCTCTCTCCATTCTACATTAATCTTCTATAAAATGACTCATCTATTTTCTGCTCACAACCTTCAGTGCTTCTCTATTGTTGATGGATCGAGTGTAAATTCTTCATCTTCACTTTCAGGACTTTTTTCATACTTTGGTTTTCTTGCCAGCCCTGTTCAGTCACAGCCTCTCCTCCAATTGATCCGACTTTCTTCTTTGGCATATCTTATCTTAAAGCATTTGATTTCCATACCTTTTCTCAGAATTTTTTCTTGGCTTGCTGATGGTTTGAGATTATACTAGCTTTGGTAACAAGAAGATAATATGACTTAAGATCAAATAAACAGTGAAGCTCATTCCTCACATTAATAGTCCCATATGAATGTTCTTGATAGGAAGATGATTCTACTCAACATCATGTTTATGATTCGCATTTCTTTTTTCTTATGAATCTATTTCCTGAGGCCTTGAAATCATCTCTACCTGGCAGGAAGATGGAACAAGACTGTGAGGGGGTGGTCCTGGAGATCCTTTTGTGGATCAGGACTGGAAGTGACACTTGGCTTGCACTCACACGCCGATGACTGGAACCCATTTCTGTTGCATGCCCAACTATAAGGAGCCTGAGAAAAACTTTCCAACTGTGAATCCAGTTAGACAGAAGAGAATTGAACACCTAGCAGTCTCTGCCACTCTGTCCTCTCCATTACTTTCCACTGCAGAAAATCTATTTACCAGATTGTTTCACTGAAGAATATTTTTTAACCACTTCCAATGGGAATGAGAATTTCCTTTTCCAAAGTTTACAACACCTTTTTTTCCTTTTTTTGTTCATGCACTGTATTACAAATGCATTTTTCTTTATGGCTATGCATGCCTTTTCTTTCCCAGTGAAGTGTGAAGGTCCTTGAAGATAGGAATTATGACATATAATTTTGGGGGTATTCATTACTTATTGGAAGACCTTTTTACATAATAATTACTTACTGGTAGTATAGGAAATCCAAAAAAATAATTTAAAAGATGTCTCTGGACTCAAGTTGTCATTTTGGAGTTTGATCCAGAGGCATGGCCATAAATAAGTGTTTTGATTCCTTTAAGACCATGAAGGAAAACATTCCAATGATACATCACAACATGAAATTTTATTCATTACAAGCATGATATTATGTAACTAGGTGGAAATATCAAATATTACTCCTTACTTACCTTCTTATATTGGGGGGCCATTGCATGTCAATCAGAGAAGGTCTTCCCTACTATTACAAACAGGGTTAGACAGACTGTAATAATTATTACAATATTCTACATCATGTTACTTTACCAAGTGAGTTGCATCTTTAATATTAAAAATCTTAGAGAAAGTTTGTGGCATTCTAGGGAATAAAAGCCTGATATTACCGCATAACACTCCGCAAGTCCATGAGCAGTATATATGCAACCAACCCTGAGATCTAATAAAGAAGAAATGGCTTTAAACTGAAACCAAAGGAAAAAATAATAATAATAAGATTTAAGCTTTTCCAAGAAGAATTTTGGTCAAATACAGAAGAGACCTTATTAAAAATGCATTAACCTTGAAATATCTTATTACATTCTTTTTACCCCCAGAGAATATTAGATATGTTGCAGTAAGTGCAAATGCGAGAAATTCAAAGGATAAAATAAATAACTTCTAGGAAGGTCCTCTCCATCTTGCACAGCCCTCTTCTAAAGCTTGAGCTACTTTTGATTTCCTTTCTAAAATGGCTCAGAAAGAAGCCTGTACAATGAAAGTAAGAGCGGCTCTTTATTTCTTTTTTCTCTGACTACTTCGAGATCTGTTTTTGTCACAACTTCATAAGTATTTCAATTACTTGCTCCCGCAACAATCCTGCAGAGACACTCTGCCCCCACCCCTCTTTTTATAGATAAAGATATTGAGGTTAAGTGATTTTCTCAGGGTTACAAAGAGACCTAGCAGCAAAGAGCGAATGAGAACTAGCAGTTCAACCTTCTGGTGGATGAATAGATTGAGTTTCTGAGCAGCTTTGCTATTATATTGCAAAAGGGCCTCTCCGATGCCTGGTTGAATGTGTGAGTCCTGGGAATGAAAAGAAGGCTGCGAGGAGAGCATTTTCCATCTTATTAATGACATGGGCAATTGTCTAAAGTTGGAAGGAAAGGCCCGTTAGAGAAAGAACCCTTTTACAAGAGTACAAACAGCAGGACTCTCCATTTGGGACTGTCCCTCAATGGAACTGTTGTTGTCTGTCTCCTCTCAGACAGTGCTGCCGAGGAAGCCGGGCTCCAGATTGGAGATGTGGTGCTGTCTGTCAACGGCACCGAGGTCACCAGTGTGGAACATGCAGAAGCTGTGCACCTTGCAAGGAAAGGTAGGCGGACTGGCTGCAGAGCCCAGAACTAGTATGAAGAAGCAGACAATTGCAGCAGAGAATTCAAATATGAGGAGGGGCCAACTGCAGAAAGGATACAAATGTCCTTTTCCTGGGCGCCCCTTTACTGCATTGTCATTGGTGTGGTTCATTTATTGCAGTTAAATCAAATTTTTGTCCCGTGCATATTTTGTACTGATGATCAACCACAGAAAGGAAACCAGAAAATGGCTGTAAGCAAAACGTACTTTATGGATTACCAAAGTGTTTTCTTGAATTTCTTCTGAAAAAAGACGATTCACATTATAAAAATTCTTTTACTATTTTCTTGCGTTTCAACAGTATTTCCTCCTTTCCTTTTTTCCTTCTCTTTCCAGCATTTTTAGAGTTAAGAGGCACAGTGTTTAGTGTAAAAGAGAGAAGAGAGAGAGGGATGAGAGGGAGAAAGAGAAAGAAAGAAAGAAAGAAAGAAAGAAAGAAAGAAAGAAAGAAAGAAAGAAAGAAAGAAAGAAAGAAAGAGTTCCAAAGTTTCTACAGGTTCTCCTAGAGCCACCTGAGAGCTGCAGTTGTAGCCATTCTGACCCAGATGGAACCTTTGCAACAAGAGTAATAATACATATCCTCATGCCCTTGCATTTCCTCATATTAAACTTTGTGGAAAGGTTAATACCATCTTCCTCTCTGCAAAACAATTTACTTTCTTTGGCACTATGTACAAATCGTACAAATCCTTATCTCCCCACAGACCTAGAGCTATGCAGGTGGTAAATTCTGTTTTTCATCATGGGATTATTTGGTGTGTATTTTTTTCCTGGCTTCCTGAAGGCTGCGTGCATACTGCAGGGCCGCTGACGCATATTAGCAGGCAGGGAGATAATAAAGAGGCATGTATTTGAGATAGGCTGCATGGCAAGCCATAAGGATAAACTGCTCAACAGTAAGTTTCACTTGCCCTTTCTCATGCTTAATGGTTAGCAATAGCCGAAATATTTTTCTAGTCCAGGCTAGCACACAAAAAGAAAATCACTCACAATTGTGTCCTATAAAATATTCTGAATCTTTCTGTAATGGAATTTAGCTCCTGTGATAGAATTTAGTAGGGTTTGATCTAGATGCACCAGGAATTCAAGGACATTGTCAGCATGTCCAACGACTACCTAAAAGTCTTGCACATATATTTATCCTTTGTGTAACACAGCTGAGAAATAGAAATAATATGATAAAGAGTATACTACTGGATCAATAATTTCCCATATAGTAATGTCATCCCACGCATCTGAACTTAGCTGTTTCTGTGTTCTTTGTCACAAGTAATTACTTTTATTGTTTCTGAGATAAATGAACCTTTAGTAATATTTTTATTCTTCATTCTTTTTCCCCAAGAATCTTAATGTTATGTATAATAATGAACATTTCACCTTACTGTGTCAGTTAATGGAAGGGAGAAAACGTCTAAAATTTCAAAGGAAGAGTTTCTGGCTTCTGACAAAATTATGAATTACCATCAATAGTAGGAGACAAGCTAAATTAAACAACCTAGTTTGTGCTCCTTCCAGGGAATTGCTTAGTATGATGGGCTTATCTACTGGTATAATCTGGACTCATCAGTCCTTGTTTGCTACCTTTACTCTTTCCCCACAAAATCTCACAACACTGTGGCAATGCCTGCGCCTTTACTTATCCTCAAATTTAACATTAGAGATACCCCAGAAACAAAATATGAATCTAGATCGGAGATACTAAAGTAAGAACAGGAAAAGATTTTGGAAAAAACAAGATCATGTCATGCCTGTGTTTGTTAGGAGAGGTAGGTATTACATTCAATGAGCATCTCATGTAAGGAATTGGCTAAAGATCTGCTTATTATTGTTTTCCTTCTGCCTGTGGCCCTGGATGACCAATTCTTCAACCCAGCACCACTGAAAGCCTAAAAACTAGTAACACCCAATATCGCTATCTGTTAAATAAATGCAGATAGATTAGGATATTGGCCATTCCTTGTTCAGGTATAATCTGCACATTCCTAAGACTAACTGATTATAGTAAAGCTTTTAATTGAGAACAACTAGAACCTAGAAGGAGTCCCTGAAGATTCAGAGCTATCTTGTAAGAAAATAAAAGAGGCAAACATACAGTAGCTGGGTGAAGAGAGCAAGCAAATAGGCTTATTGCCCTGAGGAATACCCTATCTCCACCACTACCATTCTCAGCAGCAGGGGCACCAACTAAGGTCTGGGTTTTTAACTTTCTCCCAGTACATGTTTTCTGGAATATTTTAATAACCCTAGAGCAATAGTAGTTATCTATAAAAAATATGAAGACATTTGAGAAACACAATTTCAATAAAAAGAGAATATACTGAACAATCTATAACAAATAAAACAAAATAGGCAAAGAGATTTGAAAGAACAAGCATCTAAAGTAAGATCAATAAATACCATAAAAGTGGTTAGGGAGGACATTTATACGATATTAGATATGAAAAAAGCAGGATGGCAGATGTAAAAATGAGCCAATTGTTAATCCTAGGTATAAAGAACATAACAGTTCAAGTAAAAAATGCAGCTGGTGAGCTGAACAACAAAAGAAACACAATGGAACAACTTTTAAAAGGTCCAAACTATTTAGAATAAACACTCACAGAAAATATCATAGAAAATCTTCCTTAAAAAAAGAAAGAAAGGAAACCTTTAAGAACAGCTAAGAAATTCAGTGCATAGAATTAGAACTAACATGATACTATTTAGATCAAGAGTTCCTGAAGGAAGAAAACAAAAAGACATAGGAGGGAAAATGCTTTAAGAAAAAAATAAAGTTTCTAGAATCACTGAAAGAACAGAAGTCTCAAATACTTATAGATTGTCAAACAGAGGTAGAATCTTCAATGTGATATATTTGCAGTGAATTTTAAAAGTTACCTAGCTCACCTGGGCATGGTAGTACACTCCTGTAATCCCAGAACTTGGGAGGCTGAGCCAGGCATATCATTGGAAGTTTGAGGTCAGCCTGGGCTACAAAGTGAGTTCAAGCCTAGCCTGAACTGCATAGTGAGAGCCTGTCTCAACAAAAAAAGATCTAAACAAAGAGAAATAGTTTAAGTTTATGGGAAGAAAAATCATACCAATTCTAGAGAAACTGAAATCCAGTTGACATGAGACTTTTCAACAGCAGCAGTTGCTACTAGGATAGGACAGAGTGATATTTTCAAAATGTTAAAAGAAATTGGCATCATACTTCAAATATAATAGTCAGCAAAACTATTTCTTAAAACGTAAGTGCACAACAGACTTACGCTGGCCTTCATGGCTTCAGAGAACACTGGCTAAAATAGTCTCAGATAAAACAGCACACCAAGAAGAAATATATATCTCAGATTGTTTTGTGTTAATCATGGGAAAAAGATGGGAAAATAATTTCAAGTTTCTTGTTATCTATATCAGTCCCTCCCCAAAATGGTAAAACAAGAAGTAGAAAATAAATGTCAACAAAGGATGCTCTCTGCAAGATGACACTGCAGGAAGGCCCACACTTTTTCCCCCTCCAAATATACCAATTGAGAAACAACTTGCAGACACAGTTCCTTTGCGAAATCCAAAAATAAATTGAAAGGATCCTCATCCCAAGTAAATGATAAGCTAGACACATTGAATCCAGGAGCAAGACTTGGGACACTCTCTTACTAGAAATCTCTACACCCAAAACAGCATCATATCATCTGAAAGAGAACTACTAATGACCACCTCCTCTAAAGGGAAGTAAAAGTGGTGTATACTCCCAGTACCCCGGCTTTTTGAGTGGAGGTCCTCAGGGAACTTGTCTTGTTAGTCTTGGGCTCCAATGGAGAACAGAGATAGAAGTTTGTCAGGTAAATGGCATAATCCTTCCCCATGCTCAACACAGAGCCAGGAGACACCCATTCTAGCTCTCAGCTACCCCTGGGGAGGGAAAGAGTTGATATCTGTGTGCAGTCCCCCAATTTCTTCATGGCGGCCCAAAGAACTGGCACCCATCTGCCAGACTTGGAGTTCCAGTGGGTCAATGCACACAAATCAGAAAGGAAGAAGTTAAATTGTTTCTGTTGCAAGTGACATGATCTTGTATAGAGGCAACCTTGAGATACCAAAAATGAACCGTGAGGACTAATAATTGAATCAGTATAGTTGGAGGACGCAAAACTCAGCATACAAAGGTAGTTGCTTTTCTATATACTAATAATTAACTATTTGAAAAAGAAACTAAGAAAAGAATCCAGTCAATAATAGCACCACATCAAATAAAATACTTAGGCATAAACTTAGCTGAGGAAGTACAAGTTTTGTATATTAAAAGCTACAAACATTTATGAAATAGATTAAGTCACAAATAATGGAAATACATCCTACTTTCATGAAAAATTTAATGATGTTGAAACATCCATACTGCCTGAAGCCATCTGCAGGTTCAGGGTAAGGTCTATCAAAAATCTCAAGAATGTTTTTTTGTACAAATAGAAAAAGCATTCTAAAATTCATGTGAAACCAAAAACACAGTAAATAATGAAGTTGATAATGAAAAAGAAGAGAAAAAGTGGTAGCATCATGCTTCCTTATTTCAAAATACATTTCAAAACAGTAGTTTTGTTGACTTATCTAACACAATAGTACTGGCATAAAGACAAATTAACAGATCAGCGGAACAGAATAGACAACCTAGACATAAATCCACGCAATTTTAATCAAATGATCTTTGACAGGGTACTAAGACTGAAACACAGAAAAGGAGAGTATCTTTAATGCATGGTATTGGGAAAACTGGATTTCACCTAAAATAAAATGTAATTGGGTCCTTATTTTATACCACACACGAAAATCAACCCAAAGTGAACTAAAACCACAAATCTTAGGGAAGAAAACAATGAAGAAATTTTTCATGATCCTTGTTTTGGCAGGGATATTTTTAAGATATGATAGAAAAAGCACATGTAACAAACTAAGGAAATACGACCACATGAAACTACAAAG